AAAAAAGAACGCCCAGATCTTTAATTAAGGGAAAGGTTGGCATTTAGGAATATTAATATCACACTCAACTGACTGCGTTTTATCTTCCCATTGCACTGATGGGTGGACAGTTCTTAGGTGCCTGTGCATGTTGTTTGTGGAGCTCTATATGATATCCTTTTCTTGTAGACTCTACACTCTGCCTTTGTTTTGTCAATACGATTGAAATGGTTCCAGACTTTGCTTCTTTTCTTGGTGTCACTCATTTACTTTACTGTACCTTTCCAATGTGACGGTGTTGTCTCTTGTTGTTGCTCCCGGCTGTCTTTCTTTCCCTCCTGCTCTTGTTGTGTGCTACTGCTGTTGCGAGTGTAACTACCGTCCCCGCTCCCTCAGCTCAGCTTAGCGCTGAGCAGAGGGGCTCAAACGCAAGGCTCTGTTTGGCGTCTCTGCTCAGCGCAAACACAAGGGTGACTTGCAGCGCAAAGCAAAAAAAAGTGAAAGAGAGGGCAAGAGAAAGAAAAAAACCCACGGCTCCCAATAAGGAGCCGGCTCGCATCGTTCACTTCAAAGACCCGGCTCTAAGAGCCATTTCGTTCACCCATCACTAGTCACAACAGCACCTACTATCAATACTGCTTTTGTGTGGTAGGTATTAAAGGGCAGATTGTTTCTACTGAGAATCTGGATTCAGTATCACTGCACGCAAACATAAACAATCATCAATATAAAATTAAGAAGCAACACCCTGTAGACCATGGCTCTACTGGCGTCACCAAGAAATCCAAAGTGTGGTGACTTTCTGGGATCTGGGTGTGTTTGAGGTGCAGTGCTCGGGTTTCTAAAGGGGGAACTCTTTTTTAAAATGATCACTGCATAGATTTTTGAATTTTGAATTTTCTTGTTTTTATGACTTTTTTTCTGGCAGTTTAATACATTTGTTAAACACTGTATAACTGTATACAAAAATATTATATTTTCTAAGGATTCATCAAAAGTACTGTGGGTTGAGTCAGTTTATTTTGTCACTTTGACTCAAAGAAGTTCAGAATAGTTTTCTCATAATTACGAGTGTAACCAAGACTGCATACAGCCTACAGGAGTGCCTAAGGCAGGATGAGGAAGCCAGCTTCAAAGCGCTAAAACCTGCATTTCTTGGAAAAGTCACTCAAGGCTGTTTCTCAACTGGTAACAGCTGTAAGATGAGTGACAGTTTTTTTTTTCTATTTCAGCAATTTACTTGTTTTGTTAAGTGTTGATATAGACAACTTGGGTCATTTTTATTGAATTACACAAAATATAACTTGTTGCTGTGTGGTACATGAAGCTTGTTTTTTAGTTTTGGTGAGTTAAATTAACTTCACACTCCACCTTCACAAATAAAATAGGCTGTTTTAGGTTTCACAAAATCAACATTCCAGGAGTCAAAAGGCTAATGAGGATATAAAACCACTGGGTATGGTCACAATGTCCATCTTTTATAAACAGTCTGTTGTGTGACATTCTGTACTTTATCTGGTGTTAAATTATTTCTTAAAGACTTAGTATTATTTGATTCCTTTTCTATTTTGAAGAACTCCCATGTGAAGACCAAACACACACTAGCCTCTCAATACTTCCACGCCTTGTTATGTGACTCTCTCGGCTTCTGCTCATTGGTTCTTTCTGAAGATACAGTGTCCCAAAAAGAAATTTATGTGAAGGATTGTAAATGAAACGCAGGATGCTGTGATTTTAAACAAGTGTATTACAACATAAATAAATAATAGCATTTGGATCAGTGATTCTATATTTCAAACAGTTTGAGATTTGAAAAACATTTAACCGAACACAAAAAAATGGAAGAGTAGAAAAGTTTGTTTCCTATCTTACCAGATGTCTGCGAAGTGAAGCAAAAAGCATCAAACCGATCATTGTTTTTATCTTTTGGGCCATAACTGCGGATGCCTGAAGGCAACTCGCCTCCACAAACTGGTCGTGGGTGAATAATCGGATAATGAACAGTGCCATCATGGAGCCAACCTGCGTTGCACCAATCCAAACCCTCAGTCCAAGCTGCAGG